ATACAATCGATGTTGCACTAACTAACTATTATCCAAACATATAATACACTGGGTGATCCCATCATATCGCATCATATATGGCAGATTGTGTAGGTAACGTGTCGCGTTACAGAAGCAGACAGGTTTAAGCATGAAAAACAGTACATTCCCTTGCAAAAACACTTTTTGTTATTAGAGTTCTAATAACATGAGCTAATTTTCTATGTAAAAATGATTCAAACTAAAAATGATTCTCTCTCACAGTGGCGTGCCTAACGGGCCCGCAGGGACCGCGGTGCGGTAGGGCCCCCGGATATTTAGGGCCCCCAAATTAAACAAGGTATTCTTCTCACACAAAATATTTTTCCACTTATGTCAGTTCGAGTGTCAGTTAAAGGAAATCTTCAGTAAAATCGAAGATTTCTCAATTTTTGCAGCCATCGGATGCATTGGAAATGATACTGATAATTTAGCGTAAAATCTTAAAACATAACTTTATATAAAATCGTTTAAGTTTTACTCCACCCCAGACTCCAACGCACCATAATTTTGCTCACACCAGCAACACTGACCGTGTTGTGTCATGGCTGTGCCAGTACCCACAGCGTGCCGCCGGTGTAGGGCATAGAGTGCGTAGGGTGCCGGCTCTATTATTGTTAAGTAGTATACAAGAATTGTGTTCTGCCTTCCAACTTTTTTTAGTCCTTCCGGTTACTTCAGCTCAACCGGAAAGGTCGTTTTCCAAATTAAAATTAATAAAAAATGTCCTTAAGTTGACCATGTCTCAAACTCGTCTAAGTTCTTTAGCTCTAATCTCAATAGAGCACGAAAGAGCCTAAGATGTAAATATTGATGAACTAGTTGATCATTATTTATCCAGTCGTTCTACTAGTCGATACAAAAAATCCTAGCCTCTAGCACCAAAGTAATTAGAGAAAATGGTTTTATTACACTTTTCTCTATTAGGTATTGGTATTGCTACGAAGGCGTAGAAGGGACATTTATAAAAAAATATTTTGCTGGTATATATGCACAATTAATTCCGTGTTAACTAACTCGGAATAAATCCCCTCCTATTTAATTGCGTGTTAACTAACTCGGAATCAATTCCCTCTCATTTAATTCTGTGTTAACTAACTCGGATTTAATCTCCTCTTATTTAATTTCGTGTTAACTAACTCGGAATTAATCTCCTCTTATTTAATTTCGTATTAACTAAGTCGAAATGAATTCCCTCTTATTTAATTCCGTGTTACTAACTCGGAATTAATCCCCGCTCATTTGATTTCGTGTTAATTAACCCCGAATTAATTCCATGCCTGGATTAAGGGGGGTTCTAACGGTTCTATAGAACCGGGCCGCATAGAGCCACACCCCTGTGTAGTACAGAGCGCGCGGTCCAGGAGATGCTCCGTTAACACTCGGGGCTTTGTTTATGATTATGGTGCGTCGCATAAGACAAATCCCAGTGTGATACGGAGCACGCATGCATATTTCACACCTTTTGCGCAGAAGAGCAAAATATTGTGCATGAAACTATTTGCCAAAAAGCAAAGTTGTCCGAAAAATATTTGGATAGTTTAATCCATTTAAATTTATAGGTCGAGTGGTATACGGCTAGATTATTTCCTGAATAATTATGATTAGAGCCAACAACAAAAAGTTCTATTTTTATTATAAAATGTCAGAATATTTCTATCAAAATTCTGTCAAAAAAGGTAAAGAAAAATGTAATCGCTGATAAATAGGTCTTGTGAAATAATCACTTATTTGAACAAAATTTATTCAAAAAATGACGTTGTCTGATTGGTCTATTTTATAATGAATGAAATAATCAATAGTAATATAACGAGTGCAATGGAAATTATCAATAATTTTTGGGAAATTTGCCCGAGTGCCTTTTTCAGTTAAAAACGCATGAGTGAATATTTGTCAAAAATTAAAAATATGTTTCCATTGCACGAGTTGTATTTTATGAGAGAATTTCATGAATCAAAAATTTAAATTTTTTGTCAAAAAATGTCAAAACACCAGTTCTCGCACCAGTTACTATGCAATTATCCGATAATTTGCACTAGTGCAAATTATCGCGTAATTCCAATCTGATTGGTTCAAATCAACAATCAAAACATGTCAGTTTATTGTTGGAACGTCAGTTTTGACAGATGTATGAAATTCTGAATTTAATTTTTGAGGCAAGTAGGTACCCCATTGTCATACTTTAAAATTTTGACAATAGGTCTGTTTCTGCAAAAATCACAAACCAGTCAGAGCGAATTTCATTGGTTCAAAACAGTCAGAGACAGTCAGAAAACTAGTTTCAACCAATGAAATTCACTCTGACTGGTTTGTGATTTCTGCAGAAACAGATCTATTATCACGGCGAATAGGTACAAGTTTTATGAATTTATTGTTGTGGTTCACGGTTTAAAGTAAGACATGAAATAACAGAAAATGGAAATAATGAAAATTTTGACAGACATCACGTGATCACTTATCTTTTTTTATGTGTCAAATCACATAAAATTTGTCAAAATTTGCTGTTTTTGGTTGCAGATGCAATTACCGAACCCAGCCTTAATATTAAGGTCATATTATTAGTTCACTGCGCCAACTATCGAGATCGAAAACAGGTTCAATTGCTTCAAGCTTCAACCTATTGAGCCATGTTGTGATTCAATGTGGCATGGCTGTGCTTAACGGGATTTAGCGTAAGCCCACTAGCGCTGAAAGCGCCAGGAGGCACTAATTATAGAGAAATATAATAAACCAAGGTGAGAGTTACCGATTCTGTGGTGCGACACTGGCATCGCGATGACGTCATATCGATACTAGCGCCACTATCCACTACAAGATAAACTTAAATATTATTTGGCGGGCTTTTTGAACTTTTAAATTATAGTTCTGTTATTTTTGAAGATAGAAATTTAGCCCAGCGTTTTTCCGCAGTCGACAGAAAAAAAGCGGAAAAACGCTGGCCTGGAAACAAAAATAAATAATCAAAAAATGTTCATGAAGTAATCTATATATTTTAATTTTTGACAATTAACAATGAATGATAAAAATTAAATTATATATACATAAATATAACTTTGTAAATAATAAATTGCAAAAAAATTACAACAAAAAAAAAAAGCAAAAACAGTAGGTAATGGTAGGTTAGTATTTAATTAGCATTATTTATGCATGAACCTAACGATTTTCACATTCTAAATCTTACCAGAATCATGTATTTTTAATAAACTAATCAATTTTAGGTTCACTTATTTCTGTCAGTTTTGAAAAAAGAAAATGCCAATTTATAGGTTAGAAATCGCAATGTAATAAATAAAAAACCTTATGTCCTCTCACTCCTCTCTTCCTTTTTTATCACATCTCTTAAAAAGAGACAGATATAAGAATGGGAGACGATGTCAGAATTGTCAGATGGTTCCAAGCTATACTAGCGCAACCATGTGTTACAAGAAATACGTTGCCACTTGGCGCATATGAATCGGTAACTCTTACCTTGGTTTATTATATTTCTCTATGGCGCTAACTGTAGCCGTTGAACGGCCTGTTCATGTATCAAGATTGTTTCTGAGCTCTTAACATAACCTAACAAAACCCTGATTAAACATTTGTGTTTAATGACATCGGTATTTCCATAGTTTTGAATATTAATGTTGAAAATTTGAAAATAAAGCAGCTCCTATACCAACATCAACCAAAAACCAAAAGAAAAAATAGTAATGTTAGATTAGGAGTTAGGGTAGATTAGACATTTATGACATTTCATATGAGTGCTAACACCGCTAACTAAAAATAGCACTTTTCAAATGAGCTAAGAAAGCTGACAGGTGTTTTTGCGCTAACTAGTCGTTTATCGGTCAATTAGCGGAAAGCGCTTGTAAGCGCTAACACCCGCTAAGTCCCGTTAAACACAGCCAATATATAGTTATGGACTGATGGTTTATAATCTTGTCAAGCCAGCTTTTGGGAGAATTTTGGCAATGTTTTTTGTATATTCAAGTTTAATATTTTTTTTTCTGATCTTCAATCTCGCGAGGGCTCCTTGGAATGTTGGGCCCGGTTCTATAATAGAACCGGTAGAACCCTCCTTAATCCAGGCCTGGGATTAATTCGGGGTTAGTTAACACGGAATTAAATGAGAGGGGATTGATTCCGAGTTAGTTCACACGGAATTAAATAGGAGGGCATTAATTCCGAGTTAGTTAACACGGAATTAAATAGGAGGGGATTAATTCCGAGTTAGTAACACGGAATTAATTAAGAAAGCATTTATTCCGAGTTAGTTAACACGGAATTAATTGTGCATCTATACCAGCAAATAAAAATTTAATAAATGTCCCTCTACGCCTTCGTAGGTATCTGTTTTTTTTTACCAGAGAGGTACTTATTTTTTATTTCTTGTTATGATCTTGAATACATTTTTTTATGATATTTTTTGTTTACTTTTATTTTTACCGATACTGTTTGGGGCCCCCAAGGAAAATCTCGCGGGAGGGCCCCCAAGAATCTCGGCACGCCCCTGCTCTCTCAAATTTCAAGTCTCCAGATACCATTCTGATATCTTAAGGAGTCCATTCTGATAGAAAAATTAAAAAGAAAGAGAAAGTAGTCCGGTTCTGTACAGAAATATTGTTCGTTATTAAGGGCCAGATAAGTATACCGATTTTGTTATTGTTAGAAAAAAAATATTGTTTATAGTAGGCATACCAGAAATAGAATAAACAACTCAAGATTTTCGCAATTGTCACCACATCGGAGACAGAGAGCGACACAAATTTTAGTTCCATTAAATTATTGGTTGCAGTTATTGTGGTAAGGCTTTGTTTTACCATTTATTTATATTTAGCTGTTTTTTATACTAATACTTAATTATTTTTTTTTTCCATAAGTACCTTATTTTATTTATTGTTTTCTTCTAAAAATTTTTATTTTTCTACTTCCTATTCTTTGAAGCTGATAGAGTGGAATTTGCAATAAAGTTTCAGATTTCGATAAACCTCGAACAAAAGATGGATCCCATTTCAGGGAAGGTAAAAAATCAGTTTGACAAGAAGTTAGGTAATGGAACCAAAGGAAACTCCAAAAAGAAAATACCCCAATCTCAAAAAAATATAGAATCCAGTTTGGAAAAATACACTTCCAGTGATTATAAAAAGAAGAATAAATCCATGACGAGAAGGTCCCATAAAAACAGAGATCATATGAAGACGCATAGAGAGCATTCTGAGGCAAATAACTCGAAAAATAGCACAAGTATCAGCTATCATTATCCTTATTCAATAGACCCGAGTGGTAAGATAGATTTTGAGCAGCTGGTAGAATCTGGTACAGTAAGCCTTGCAGACGCTATGGAGTTGCTGTTAGACTCTGTTCCAGAGATTGCACATGTCTCAGTAGACAACCAAGGACGACAGTTGGTACATGGGCCCGAAGCTATAAGTAGACTTAATGCTGCAAAATATAATCAGTAAGTCGCAAATCGTTTATAATCCATGGTGTGGATTACCATGCCAGAAAAGGCCAAAAGTTTGACAAAACAAGCATTAATTCTCATGACTTTTTTTTTGGTCATCGAATATGGCAACAGGCAACTTTTCAAAAATCATTGAATTCTCTACATTTTTTTTTTTTAAATCGTAAAACCGATATTTGAAAAAAGTCAATTGTTTATGGTCAATCATTTATTGGAATATTTCTTGTCTGACATTTATTTATTTTTTTCAGAAACAAACTGTATACAGAAGATAAATCCAGCCCCACCAATCAGGTGCCTAAACTCGTCAATATTTGCAATGCATTTTTTCAAGACAATTTAAGTTTGATAGGGTATACCGGTGGAGCACCATACTCAGTCCTGGAACCCATTTTGGAAAAGGCAAATCCAGCTCAACTTTATCGTATCGAGTTCAACAATCAATACTTGATAGATGGACAAACGGATGCATTATGGGAGCTGCATTGCAAAAGAGATTTAAAGTATAGAAAGAAGTTTTGGTGGGAAAGTTATAGGGACATGTATATACATTACGAAATTGAAAGGCTGACAAAATTAGGAGTTTTAACATAAAATTCAAAAAACGGCAGGATCATAGCTGAAAATAGTATGAAAGACTTAAGTAGCAAATAAAACTCACAAAAGAGTCTAAAAAAAAAATCCAAAGGAAGAACAATTTAATTTTATTATAAAAAAAAATATTTAGACTCGTTGGAGAATTTCAAGTTTGTTGTCGAGTTAAATTGTTAATTCTTATAGGTAGGTACTTATCGAACACTTCTAAAAAACCTATTTTCATATAATATGATCAAGTCTTATTATTATTGGGTTTATTATTTATTTTGTTGTCTAAATTAGAAACCGTCGCCCTGTAAAGAGCAAGATTTCCACATAAATTGAGAAATTATTATTGAATAAAGCATTATTGTCCTGCTTGAACTTTGGTACCTCGTTTTATTAATTTATGAAGACAGGCGTTATTTCACAACTAGGACTGGGATTAAGGAATATATTCGATGATTCCTGCTATTAGGCAAGAATAGCTACCTAACAATCTCCTTGGTTTCAATTTCCAATTTTGTCGAACATAATTGAAACTTTTGTGAAAATCTCTGCAAACTCGTAACATAACAGGCATTTATTATTATATTCAAGATGGTTCATAATGTTTGTCTAATATCGGTTTCATCACACATGAAATACGTATCGAACCCTTGCAAAAGCTATGCGAGCACACCAGAGCGGACTTTAGATAATTTTCGTGGGTTTTAGACAATTTAAACTTTATAGAGATCATCAATTATTATCATATTCTCTATATTGAAAATATCGTGATTCCTTAATCCATCGATGAACTGAGATAAGCTTCAAAGAACGCTCAATCGTTTATTTGATTGTCTTCTTTATTCACTGCCCTAGGTAAAATCACAACTGTGTTTTCTTCTCTGAAATCTGATCTGAAGATTGTGAAATTCCTTCAAAGCCTTAAGAACTTGTTTCGCTGCATTCGAGAAAGTTCTGGAAATACTTTTATTTGTCACTCATTTGTAAAACGTCATTTATCAAGTCAAAACATAAACAACGAAAATTGATTTTTACCAGTTACTGGCTCTACTGACTTGTAAAATTGACAGCTAAACTGTAAAAACTTTTTACAAGTCAGTAGGGTCAGTAGAATTATTTATTAAAATTGTATTACTTAGGTATTAATTTTTTATTTATTGTTTACAAATGAGTAACAAATAAATTATTGTACATCATACGCCAGGTATCAGTTTTTACTGGCTCTTGAAGGTGACAAGCTCGCCTGACGGCTCGCTAGTCATTTCCTTCAATCACCAGTAAAAACTGTTTTACCTGGCTAATAATGTAAAATACTATATCAAATGTGCGGCATGTTCTCGCGATATTTCAACGACTCATAGTGTCTGTTGAGCGCTGATGACTCTATTTAAACATGAAGTGATACCGCAAGGGGTAATTGAGTTTGCAGTGAGTACAACAATGCTTTGTTAGATGTTAGATTTTATTGAATTAATTATAGCTATTTATATTAAACTAATCAATACAAAAATTCTATATACATTTATTACAATTAGTATTTTTCTGCTTAGTCTGCATTTGCTGGAGGTTAACGACTGGCCTGATTTTGTACTGCCGATGCTGCTAATTCAACAGATTCCATGGCGTAGGAAAATCGTAACCTGGATTATATTGAATATTCTCAAAAAAAGGATTTTTATATCTAATTATATTATAGATTAGACATTCTGCCCCGGGCGTTTCAATTGTCTTCCTGTGCTGTTCTTATTGACGGATGATGGTACAGATGCAGCGGTTATAATGGAATGCCATCATCCATGGAATTCCTCTGTTGAGGTCGTTGAGGGTGGTTATTATTTTCGCAGCGTTGGTATAAAAAATAAATCACACATGCAGCAAAAGCTACTGTTGTTACAGAAAACGCTGTCGTGTTGCCAATTAACGTGTGATGCCGAAAATTTGCCCATTTTTCTTCTTCTAGCTGTTCATGGATTTGTTCTTCTTCTTTCTTCAACCCTTCTAAGCTGTCGGATGCAGTAATTACAGGTTCTTCTTGCTTGTCTTGAGGTCTGTAACTTGTTAAGTGCATCAATAATGCCGATTCGGGCTGGGTAAAAGTTATTGTTAAGTACTCTTGCCAGCTCTAGTTTTTTCGGGGATAATATATTCTTATTGGTTTTAACTATGCAGCTTTATCTCTTCTCGGACACCATCGCAAATTATAGCCATTTTTACCTTTATGGGTGTCACAAACAACCAAGCGTTAGGCGTACTTAATTGTTTCCAGGTCATTAATTGCCAGGAGATCTCGTAGATAGGACATGTTTTTTTTTTTGTGTGCGTTGGTAAATTTCATCTATAACACAATTTGGACTTGTATCAATGGTTCTTGTTGAAACAGGAGAGCAGACATACACTTCTTCTTTAATATTTTCACAACTTCTATATTCTTCATCGCTGAGTTGGAAATATAGCTGAGTATTATAATTGACAGCTAATCTTTCGTTCGGAATATCCATCACTATATATCATTAATCACAATAAACGGTATTGGAGCAGCCTCTATTAGAAGAAAATTGTCTACTTCTGTCATAATAAAATATCCAAAAACATGTGAGTTGTTACTTTGATGAATTCTTGTTTCTAGTAGTGGGAAGGATAGAATTTGTATGTTTCAAGGTAATTTATTCGATATATCTAATATTGCGTTTTCAATCTGGATGGAGGATACTAATTCAAACAAATGAATATGATGATAGTGTACGTCTAGCAGACGTTGGTGATGATTTAGTAGTCGTCTATATAGTTTAGTACTGTATCTGATATGTGCTTAGGAGATAAATATTATTCAACACGTTGGTATCAATGGTTTTGTACCAGTGCTGCATCTCTTCAATGGCCGTAATCCCTTTATTTATTCTTTCTTGAAATCTTCTGATGTGTCCATTGATATGAGTTTCTGTTTCATTAAATTCCGCTAACGCATGTTACATGAATTTAGTCTGGTGATTTGATGCCTGAATAAGTTTCTCCTGATTTGTTTCCAATTGCTCAATTTCTTGGTAAACTTCATCATTAAACCCAGATAAAGATGTTAGTAATTTTCCTACTAATCCTCGCTTGCGTCCATTTGCACTTATGATTTTCATTCCTTGGTCTATTGATTCCATTTGTCTCTGCTTTAAGTGGTCAATAAGCGACGAACATTGTGTGTTTGACGCTAATTCCCTTGCCTTATCACAAAGAACTTCAATCTGTTTAATAGAATCACCTATAGTTCGAGTATCATTGGCTAATTTATTTTTATCAAATTTCAGTTCAAATCTTAATATTCCCCTATCAATTTTGGCATGTCCTATATGCTCGGTATTTATTCCTGGAGGTAGATAGTGTAAACTATATTCTCCGCTGTAGAGCTTTCCAATGCTACGAGAAATAATATAGCCTTGAAGGCTATTTTCCATAGTTTTACACTCCTACAATTTGAATTGCCTCGCACCTTCTCTTGTTCTGTGTATATTGGAATGAATTTATGAACTGATCGCTTCATTGAACTTCCATCAGCCTTCTTAATGGTTACTACTCTTACTGTGTTATCTTCTGATGGGTGTGTTTTGATTCTTTTGCCAGAGGCCATTTGCTACGGTTGATATCCTCATTTTTTTATCAAGACTAGCTCTCCGATTTCGATTCCAAGCGATTTTCTAATGTTTTTCCATTTGTATCGTTGTTAAAGTTGGCGCAAGTAATCTGACGACCATTTTTTCCATATATCCATCTAAATTTTTTGTACTAATTTCCATCTTTCAGTTGGATTAGAGTTGATGGCTGTACTAACTGGGTCTGGTGGTTCCACAAGTGACCGTCCCACCAAAAAGTGCCCAGGCGTCAGAGGTCAAGGGGATCATCGTTTAGTGGACACAGGGGTTGGGAATTTAGGCAAGTTTCTATCTGGTGCATGATTGTGGATAACTCTTCGCAAGTGAGGCAAGTTGCCCCAATCACTCTCCTCAGGTGGTCCTTCATTGATTTTACCCTTGCTTCCCAGAGTCCTCCAAAATGGGGAGCTGCTGGTGGGATGAAATGCCACTGGGTTCCGATAGAGACTAGCTTATCTTCAATATTGGATATTTTGACTATCTGCATAACTTCTTTTTGTAATATTTTGCTTGCTCCGACAAAGTTTGTTCCATTATCGCTATATATTTGCGCGCAGCAACCTCTTCTTGCGGTGAAACGTCTGAACGCGGCTAGGAATGTGTCTGCTGACATATCGCTCACAACTTCAATATGTATAGCTTTAGTGGCAAGGCACACGAATATTGCCACATACCCACATGGCCTCTTCCTTTGGTTGTTTTAATTTGTATTGGACCGGCGTAGTCTACCCCTGTATGTAGAAATGGGTATGATGGAGAGACTGACTGCTGGAAGATTTCCCATTCCATTAGTTGTTCCGCTGTTTGAGCTCTAAAACGGATGCATTTTTCACATCTACTAATCATAGTTTTTACTGCTCGTTTCCCATTAATGATCCAAAACTGTTTGCGCGTGTTAGCTAATGTTAACTGATTTCCTCCATGGAGAGTGTTGTGATGAGCATTTAGAATGATTAATTTTGTAAGCTAACAGTTATAAGTTAAAATTATGGGATGTTTCGTCTCATATGGCAATTGCGATTTCTCAAGTCTTCCCCCGACACGCAAAACTCCTATACCGTCCAGGAGTGGATTCAAGTTTAAGATTTTGCTGTTTTTACTTAAAGCTGACTTTTCTTGTAGTGCTTGGATTTCATTGGGGAAATATATTTGCTGTTCCATCTTGACAATAGCTTGCAGTGCATCTTGCCATTCCTTTACCGATAGACGTTCGTTTTTTTTTTTTTCACCTTTGTTTTGCAGTATTGGATAGAACGCTTGCAAAACAGAATTGAATTGAAATTGAATTATTAGTTTATTCAGTGTGGAGAATTATTTCGTCATTTGTTTGGCATCTGTTGGAAACAATGTGACATGTGTTGATTTCTTCAG